GACTCGTCACTACTGTCACTTTCAGAAAGATTTAATGCAGGCAAATTTACGTCCAATAATAACGCATCTTTGTCTTTAAGTTTTTTCTTTTTTACTTTTTTTAAGGTATGATCTGATCCAGCCTCTTCTTTTATTTCCGAAGATCCAGCTTCTTCCTTAGGTTTTTCATCAATTAATGCATCTACAGGTGCTGATACGTTACAATCATCAACTGGTTTATCAGTCGTTAATGATTGCTCTTCAGTTATACTTTCAATTGATATAGGCTTATGCTTTTCTGCATGTTTAGTTAACAACTTTTTGGAAACAAACTTCTCTGTGCAATTTTCTTCAGCACATACATGCGGAAACTCTTCAGAATGGAATCTTTTATGAACTTTAAGATATACAGCACGAGTGAATTGCAAAGTGCATTCTTCACATACAAAAATAGCTGGAGGAGTACAGAAATGATAGACATGCGGCCATTTCTTTTGTAGGCACTTTTTACACAAGACACTTTCTGTGCCATGTTTCCAGAACAAGTGGTTTGTTATGTCCGGTTTATTTCTGTATGCAATACCACAACGGTAGCATAAATGATGCAGTTTATGTTTCCAAACGTGACTTGACAAGCGAGCTTGGCTTTGGCAAAATTCTAAACAAACGTCACATGTGTGGTGTATTTTCCGTAAATGTACCATTAATCTAAAGGGTGAAGATATAGAGTCTACAGTACACAAGCAACATCTAAACCTATTTTCGTATTCTGAATCATATGTTCCAGGGCACAAATGACATAACAATTCACTATAAGTATAAAAATTACATTTACACATAATGCAAAGTAATATAGTTTTCTGGTGCATTTTGCGATTGTGTAAATAGAGATCTTTTAGAACAGCAGTTTTAAAGAAACATTGAAAACACTCAAATACATGACTATACTGAACAGTTTCACATTTATCAACACTATCATAAGAGTCTAAATTTATGAACACAGTACACACTTCTTGTAGCCTCGCCTTCACTTTAGCTGCAATAGTTTGTGGCAGAAGCTCTTCTGCTGTGATGCTGTTAACAGTTGCAGAGAATCGGTGCTCTGCTACCAAGTGCAGTGCAAGCTGTTCGCAGTTTACGGCAATCTTCCGGGCATGGTTGCAATAAATACAGTTTATAACAGTTGATGCTAAAAACACTTTCAAGAGATCTTTAAGTGGATATTTATCTAATGGTCGGTCTAATGTTAGTTCTATAGCTGGCACACTCTCAGTGGGTGAAGGGTCTTCCACATTCAAAATCTCTTCTTTAACTTCAGTCTTGGTTTCTACATTGGGATTGACATTTTCATCTGTCATTTGTACTTTGGCTTCTGGTTGTTGTTCAGGTTCATCTTTAACAACAGGCTCCTCTAATGGAACTTCAGGCATTACTTGGTCCTTTTCGGGAGACTGTTCTTTAACATGTTCTTGGTGTGCTATAGTTGTATTGTGATCATCATTAGACATCTTTTCACCAGTATCACTATCAGAAGAGTAATCACTTGAAGATGCTTTATCCAAAAATTCCTTGGGCACTCTCACTGTTAGCTTTGGTACCCTGTTCAATGTGTTACTGTCATCTAAATTATTATCATAGATAGTAGTTTTTATTGTACTATCTGGTTTCGGCTCAGGATCTTTAGGTAACACAAGTTCAGGCCCACTATTATCCATGATTACTTTTTGTGTTGTTTCTTGGTTACTTTCTATTATAGTTGTTTTTACAAATGGACTGTCAGCTTTATCACATATTGTCATTTTTATGGAAGGCAATCTTGGTGGTGTTGGTAATTCTTGTGATGCATCTTTCTCATACCTTTTCGGTGGCCTTCTGACCCGAGATGGTGGCTTATATTGTTGCCCAATTGTTGGATCTACAGTAGAATTAATAATTACTGGGGAATTAGCATTATTCAAACTCAATTTTAACTTAATACCACCTGCTTCCTTTTCTCTTTCTGGTGGTTGACTAATACTTTCATCTACATTAGGATGTGGTGAAGATGGATGAATTTCATCAGGTATAGGTGAGTCACTGTCCTCCGATTGTTCTATACTGTCATCACCATTAGGTAAATGTAATCTACTAGTGTCAGGGGTGCTGGTCTCATGAATGTCTGTCCCGGGTTTTACATTCACACTATCAGGTCCTATCACAGATTCTACTGTATTACTATCGTCTTTACTATTTGAAAAAGAACTATCCGAACTAATACTTGCATCACTATTTACAGGTTCACAATCACTTGTATCTATTGTAGCCTTAGGGGTAGTTACTGTCTCCGGCTTTGCATCATTGGCTTCAATTTTATCACTAACAGGCTTTAATGAATTCTTACTAGACATTGTGGTAGTACTACAACTTTTTAATGGCTCATTGCCATTTTTAATATGATTAACATTGTTTGGCTTTTTACTAACAAGCACAGGCACAGGTTTAGGTTTCACATTGTTACAATCATGATTGAAAAAATCATCCTTCTCACTACAAATTTCATCACAAGCACAACACATTAAATATAATGTCCCATTGTAAACATTAACAAAGTCCTCCTTACTGTTGTAATTGAACTCTTGTACATTATGCTTGTTGGTAAGATGAGCAGACAACTTCTCAGCCTTTGAGAACATGCCCAGACAGAACAAGCAGATGTGTCGATTATGTACCTCTCTCATATGAAGGAAAAGATTCCAATTTTCATAATATGTACCGCAAGCTGAACATAAATACACTTTTCTTGTAACTCTTGATGGTCCCCCTGCATTGTTATCAGCATTAGAAACTGACTCCGGGCTGAGAGCAGGCTCCTTCACTTGGGCGCGACAAATCAACTGATGTTCTTTCAACATTGCCAATGTCTTGAAGGACATAGAACAACATTTCCGACACTTAAATTTAACCATAGGTTGTAGACCCAAACTCTGTGCATATTCTTTCAGTTGGGGACCTTTTTCTGTTTTACCTTTTTTAAACTGTACCAGCTGACTTTTGGGCACAAGTCGTGGAACCGGTTTGTCTTGCTCATTGTCCATAGAACTGTCCGCTTGTGATACATTGTGAAATGGGTTACGGTCAACACGTTTGGGTAAGAGTCTCGGCGCGCGAGGGGTTGCGTTTTTTGATGCACTGCTTTCACTGGGTTTAACCGCATAATGCTTTCTCTTCTTGCTGGCATTGTTGTAAGACGCACAAGTGTCAACAAACGGTCTTTTGCCAAGATGTATTCTTAATGGATTAATGCGTTTTCGGAATTTTTCGTCTTGTGATGCATCGCCGCTAGAACGCCGAGGGCCGTATATCGTGTCTGGGGGACTGGATGGCTCTCCGGCAAAGTCATGCCCATTAGTAGTTAACTTCGCGGGTCTTTCGCCGTAAAAATTCGTCAGTGACGCTGAACCAATTTTATCGTCTCTCGTGTTGGTTACATTACCATCTTCCATAGTTTTCTGAAAAAAGGAAACACGTGCTTACTACATTTAACGAGAAACAAAAGACGTTCAAACAAGAGGAAATCAAACTTCGATTTGAAATACGATAACAATAATAACACTGTAATATAAGGCCGTACCTCTGAAATCGTACGTCCAGTACGAGAACAATAATAAAGATTCGTTTCCATGCATCCGTTTGGGTAGAGCGCTCCTTACATCAGGCCTAATAAGAGGCAGCCGCGGGCTGGTCATTCCCGTAAAATGGCGTCACTTCGCTGAGCGAGGATTGGTGATATCAGAAATGTTGCACTGCGTTTGTACGACTTTTATCACTAAGTTTACACATTTTTAATGTTTAAAACAATCCATATAATCACAAACAGATTAAATTAAACTCATTGCGATGTTTATTTCCAAACACATTATTGAAAATCGTACCGCATTACGAGAAGCTATTTCATGTTCCATAGACTAGACTCTTTTCTCTATGATTCTTACTTTTTAATTTCATTAGGCAAAAGCATTTTTATTGAAACACGTGGTTGTTACCATAAACAATTTAAAAACCGCTCGTTAGGATCAACAAACGCTAGTTAACGGCTGTTAAAATAATTACATAAGTAAACTTGCCCATTAGGCGAGATCCTGGATTTCGATTTGATTCATGGCTCTAGTGTAATTTTAATTATTCTGTAGCTCTATTCTTATTTATAGGAAAATAGCGCTGTAATAAGAAAAAGTAGGTACCTTTTAATAATCTATATCTGTATTAATTTTAAAGATTAAAGATTTGTATTTTTGTATGTATTGAAATAACACAAAAACTAATGGGCCGAGAAAGTTAATTTATCTCTGAGTAACATAGGCTATATATTATTAATACTAATGTTTAGGAACTATTAATAAACAGCGTGTTTCTGGACGCCGGCGTTAAAAATTCACTAAACTTTCACTTTTCTCGGCTTACGCTGCCTAAACCGTTAGAGGTATATAAAAATTTGAAAAAAAGAATTGTAGATCTCAAAATGTTCTACAGGAAAGTCCGCGATAGCATATACCTATCTTAAACGGTTTTCTTACAATAACCACCTTGTTGTTTACAAAATGAATTAAAAACCCCACGCTATTTGCAGCGTTCTTTTATTGGTTTCAATATTAATCCTTATCCAAATAAATGCGTTTGTTATCAGGAGAATTTAATGTAGACTAAAATTGTCCTTAAGAGTATTTAAATTAGACTAATAGTTTAGAAGATATCGCGAACACAAACAATAAGGGTAACCGAAAAATCAGCTTACAAGCTACCGGGCTTAGAAATTTGGAATCTTGCATAGGTAGATTTCTGTTATTACGTAAATTACAACTAAGTTAATACTTTTGGTAATAGGTCGAAAAAAACGGCGAACGTAATAGGTTATATTTGTAATTTCACGCGGGCGAAGTCGCGAGCAACAGCTAGTCATAAATAAGAATAAAAACGGCAACCCTAAAAATATTGACATGCCTTTTTTATCTGTATCAACAGTATTGATAACATTTATTTTTTTTAATCTGTTGTAGATTGCAACACACAAGAGAAGGGAACACTTATTTTTAGTTTCTAGTTTCTATTATTTTTAATTTTTAGCATTTCTTTATTTATGCAACTCCCGCTAGACAATGCTGATTCAAGATGATGTCTGATCAGTTTAGAAAAGTAGAACCATATTCACCAAAATCCTCACCGCGAGGAGCGAGGTCACCAGTAGTTTCACGTCAGGATTCTTCTGGGACTCTCAAAACCACTATCTCACTTGGAAAAAACCCTGCAATATTACACAGTGGTCCTTTCTATTTGATGAAAGAACCTCCAGGTGCGTACAATGATATATTTTCACAGCAAAAACAAATAACATGAAATGCATTACAATTTATAACATTACAATAAATACCTATTTACAGGAGAATGTGAACTAACAGGCGCAACAAATTTAATGGCATACTATGGCCTAGAACACTCATATAGCAAATTTAATGGGAAGAAACTAAAGGAATCACTGTCATCATTCCTACCTAATTTACCAGGCATAGTGGATGGTCCTGGACAAGAAGATAACAGTACTCTAGGATCAGTTATAGCCAAAAGACCGATCGGTGGTAAAGAACTGTTGCCCTTGAGCAGTGCTCAGCTAGCAGGCTTCAGGTTGCACCCTGGTCCCCTGCCAGAGCAATACCGTTATGTTAGTGCAACACCTCCTAAAAGGCATAAGAGCAAACACAAGAAACATAAACACAAAGATGGAGCACCACCTGGACAGGACACACCTTTACAAGGTAACACTATTTGTCACTATGCTTCACTCCTCATATATGTATTCTAATATAATCTCAAATAAATTTGAAGTAAGAAAATATTAAGATAAATCTTACTAATATTAGAGAGGCTAAAGTTTAGACGATGGATTAGAGTGTGTCGTCTAAATGACTGAAGGGACCTTGATGAAATTTGGTAGATGTAGAGAATAGTCTGGAAGAATACATCGGCTACTTGCTTTTGTTTATTTCTATGTGGAATGTAAACAAACAATCAAATCTTTTCTCTTTATATTGTTATAAATAATAAATAATAGATAGATAAATTCATTACTAACCTTTTTAGTCCACTTTACAACTAACTAAATATGTTCTCTATTTAAGACTCATCAAACCCAGACACATATGAAAAGAAACACAAAAAACAGAAACGACACGACGACGACAAAGAGCGGAAGAAACGGAAAAAGGAGAAAAAGAGAAAAAAACAGAAGCACAGTCCGGAGCACGGGGGACTCACACCCAGTCAGCACCCCAATGCCTAGCCAGCTGTAGTCAATAAGGTTTCTTATGAGATGCATCAAGTGGGGAGTCTTTATACATAGTAATGTGTTAAATACAAATTTTTGTAATAAAGGATATGTGTATATAAGTCAAATTGATCTAAAGACTACCAAGTTCGATTCAATTCAGTACAAATCTGGTCGTCTTAATAAACAGGCAGAGACATTCAATTTTTTTAGATATTCAGTAAATTAGTAATCAGATATAAATGCATACTATCAGCAACAAAATAATAATCTAAATGTATATTTAAAAAATAAATCAGGAGGTAAACATTTTTTAGGATCTGTAAATGTTCTAATAATTTGTATACAGTATTTAATAAAAAAGTCCCCCAAAGATGTATCTCAACTATTGGGCCCAAAGAAATTGATTTTTCTATTTATTTCTTGGTCTTAATTTGAACACTACACTTAAAATAACATTGGTGAGAAAACTGATCATTTTATTGCATCTCAATAACTGTATTTATAAAAAAATCATTTTTATTTTTTACTCAATGTAATTCCGCTGTTGTGACTTGTTAATGCATATTGTGCTCTCTGTTTTATCAAAGAAATGGATAAATGTTTACATACAAGTGTGACAACAGTGGAAATGCTCAGGTCATCAAGGTATAACCTAGGCAAGAATATAAAAATCCTTGCCTAAAGGAGTTTGAATCACATTCTCATGTAGTCATTAGTTCCATATCTCCATAAAATAGCGAGGGTTTTTTATATTTCTGGGCAGGTTATAGCTGTTTAAAAACATTTCGTGTAGTATTTTGTATTGTAGTTTGTAAAATAAATACCTTTGTTAAAAGTATTACAATACTTTGGGCTCTTAAGAAATTTTTTGACAAGTTGTATGGACTATTTCAAAAACTTTCTTCAGGCTTCAGGTTATCTCAAATATTATAGATTTAAGTGTTAGATAATATTATACCGTAGTGTAAGTACCAGAATATGTGTTGTTTTACTTATTAATGTGCTAAAAATAAGGTAGTCTGAAATTTCGAAATATTTTTTTAACCAATTCTTAGCAAAGTTCGCAATTTTAGAATATGTTTTATATTTCCTATGGATCCCATCATCTATATAGTTTGCCTTTATTTTTCTCTACTTTGTAATATGTTTTTTAGTCAATTAAAAGTTACTTGTTATATATTTCCTGTTTTCTGGCATATCTATTTTTTTTCTACTAAATTTCAAACTACCTGCATATGTTACAAGACTTTGTAAATAAATGGGACTCTACAAAAGCTCAACATTTTGTGAATATCAAACTTTAGTCGCCATCAAACATCTTTGATAATTGAATTTCATACAAACTGTTATGTTGTAAAACTCATTACAAACATAAATAAGAATAAAATGTATTTCTTTTTTCTACACATGTTTATTTATTTTGTTGCCTGATGTCGCGTGAATTCTAATCAAAATCAAAATATTCTAATCGATTCAGTGGTGTCCGAGTTTTTGCAATGAAAACACACTAACTACAAGCTAACGTTAAAGTGGTAGAGCGCCCACTTTAACATCTTAGCACTGTAGGGTTGGCTCGCCGGGTCATATACCACGACCATACAGAAGATAGGCTTAAAGTGGTTCGACTTATGAGTGTGCGTGTATTTTATTATAAGGAATGGATGGAAAGAAAAAGTGCATTTTTACGATGGAATACACGCATAAAAAAGGGAAATAACTTCTTCGTGTGGGTCTCCTCCTCCGATGATTAATGGTAGGCAACGCATTTACAATTACGGGTGTGTAGGGACGTGTATCTTCGCCTTTTCGGTGAATTCTGGTGGCCGCTCGCTCGTTTGCCATCTAAGCCAAAGTTAAGCTAAAATTAAGTATTGCAGAAAGTATAACGTGTTGTGAGAATTCAGACAATAGTAGTCACATAATCAAAAAAGGGAGAAAGATCCGGTCTATAATATATTTCACACTTATCGCATCTTGCTAGTCATTATTGATTCGAACAATTTGATGTTTTAATTTAAAATCTATACAAGCGTCTTCAATATTGTGGTAACGAATACCATTCTTTTCGATAAAAGGAGCAAAAATAAAACAACGAATTGCGAGCGAAATTTATTCAAGTATCCAAATTTATACATTATTAAGTCTGTTTCGCTTCTTATAAGACGGTCATACTTAGTAATAAAACAATATAAATTAGTAATGCAGCACCAAAATACATACAACATACTTACAAAATGCCATCCTTTACGCACACATAGACCGATCTCTAGAACCTTCAGCGTATTAAACTTCATACACGGTGAACCAATGACAGAAAATAGCGCTTAACAAAATTGTGATACGTAAAGGAGCAATTCAATTAGTCGATTACGCTCGCATTCGTGATGCTAGAAATTTCCAGTTCACGCATGCCATAGCGCCCGCAAGAACCGTTTTTAAAATGTTAGGCTTGTTTGCATTGGGCGATAGCTTACTTCATCATTTATTTCATTAGCCGTATGCGGGAACTTGGCATGCTGGTTAACGATATATCGACTAATAAAATTGTGCCCTTCTTGGGTCTCGATTGTCGATTTGTACAAACAACTATCCCATTCATTGTCTTTGGAAAAACAGACAATTTTAATAGAAGTAAAACAGCAGTATAGTTACACAAGTTCTGACATTGACAGTAATCACAAAATCGTCATAACAAAACTTTATTAATTGTGATGTTAAATGTGATGTTAGTTTATTTTAAATAATTATGTAACATTGTATATTTTTTCTATAAGTTATGGCATGCTTTGAATTGATTGTAGTTCTCACGTGCTATGTCTCAACCGTATAAAATATCTAGCAAGCACTAAATACCCGTCGACATCTACCTACATCGATCTAATTCAGGGACTAATCACCGAAAAACATCGATGTTGCTTATATCGATAAAACATATCGATTAAATTAAATTAAATTGTCGAATTTCATTCACGAGGATTAAAATAAAAATTTGTTTTATCCAAAATACAATTAACACACACATTTTTACTTTACTTGACTTTTGTCGGCTCAAGGTCGACTGCAGTGCGAGTTGCGGCGTGTCCTGTGGATGTTTAATCGATATTTTCTTATTATTTTATCGATAACGCAACATCGATCATCCCTACCTATTGTATCCTAATACATTTGGCGCGATGGCACGACACAATTACTGAGCTTGACTAATATTGGGGATCACAAAATTTTAAAAACTAAAAATAAACGCAACGACCTAGATTCGCTATTTACTTTAGTTAATAAAACTTTCCTTGAAATTTCAAACTAATTAATAAATAAACAAATACCTTTAAAAAACTTATTTTTTCCATATTTGTTTACATATTCAGTAACTTGAGATAACTATATTTTAACATGGGCTTATCTCGCCCTTTGTAGTGACATAAAGACAAACTAAATCCATTCACACTATCAATTTCAAATACTGAAATGCCAAATCTAACTCGCACTAACATTTATATAAAAAACATAATTCATTAACAGGCTGTGTGGTAACTTTCCAGTAAAGAAAATGAAATTCACAAGGAGTCTTTTTAACGAAAAAAAAAGCCAAAAAATTAATAAAACATTGGCCAATTAAAATAAGGTTTTAAAAAAGGAAATTTTTCGTAAATCATGCATGGAGGCCTTATCTTAGAGATCGCTAAATGGACGTCTATAGCCTAGCAATGATCACATTACAAATTTTGAGCAATATAATTACAATAAAGGTTAACTTGCTCGAATATCGAATTGTTTTTAAAAAATGTGTCCATAGATATACAAATCATCAAAAAAAACTTTTATTTTACTAAGTGATGTTTATATGCAGCCTTTTTGCTCATATTAAAAAATCAATTAGTGAGACTGGCAAGTTAAAAATAATCGGTAAAAAAAAACATTAGTCAAAGGCGAAAAGGCAAGCGAGCGCAGCGCTAAATAAAATATACATAATACGAACATATTTATATCCGTAAGAAATAAATAATCGGTTAATTAATAAAACATTATTAAATTATACACATTATATTACACAATTATTAATAAACGTAATTTACAATAAAAATAATTAAGTTTAAGACCAAGTTAATGTTGCCTCAACATATTTTCAGCACTGGGTTGCCATTTTTTTTATAAATGCATTAAAATGTGATATTATTGACTTAAATGCACAAATTATAAATAGCAATTCTGTATTACAATAGATGTCATTTCAGGCTATTATTAATTTGTTACCCGCATTTTGACATCTGTCACAGTGACAGCTGTCATTCCCACAACATGGAAGGAAGTACAGCTTATTACAGCTCGTGAAACGTCAATTATTTATATGTGCTATTCTTAATAGTACAAAATCATTTTTAGTACATGAAAATGGATAAATTACGGCGAAAATATGTTGACACGACATTTGTCACAGACTATATAATTCCACTAATTAATCACATTAGCGAATCTTTGTTAGTTTGACTCTAGATGTTTCCGTAACAAAATTGTTAATTCCAAATAAAAAAGAAAACAATCATCAATCATTTACAAGAAATTCTCATATTTACATACAATAGCTTTATGTATATTAAATAAATCGAAAATCTGCGTCCACAGATAATCCGTGTTTGAATCCGTTCAGTGAGCTATTTAAATGGCAACATTGCGTGACGTCACTAGTGTCACAGCTCCTTGAGTAGCGCTGACTTCGCGTTCTTGAGTTTATCAAGTCGCTTCGTCAGGTGACTGTTCTCCGTCTCCAACTCCTCAACTCTGTTCAAAGCTTCTCTAGCCTGTAAATAAATTTAATTTATTTTATTAGGTTGCTAAACTTTTTTAAGTTACTCTTTCGGCTCTCTCTATATTTTTAAAATATATATAAAACAATTAAAAATATAATACAGTTTTAAATTAGTAAAATCAATACATGCATTTTTATTTTTCACATTCTGACAAGGAGTTTATTTACACGAGGACCTCGAAAGCATGGATTGATATAATTTGGTACTTGCGAATAATAAGAAAAAAGTTCTTACTCCTTATAAATTATAACGTTTATTTTACCTATAGTTTCATATTACTGTTGGCGGTTTATTTATTGTTATTTATATACACTTGGCGTGTAATTAATAAACAAGACATATACAGGGTGAGAAATTTATTTGGACTATCAGGATGTATTTGACTGGGTCACAAAACAGGTAAAACGGTAAAACGTTGCCTTTCCACCATACCGTTAGCAGTCTCAGTTATTGATAACGGCCCAGAAGTCAACAACTTCCTGAAAACAATATTGGTATTTTTTTCTTGCTCTATGGTATCAAAAGAATGATACCAACGATAAATTCATTGAAATCATTATATTTTTGTACATTTCAATTAATAAAATAATCGATACGTCTATAACTGATATTGTGTTTAAAATCTTTACATAACCGAAGATCACTGTTGGACGAGAGTAATAGTAGGCCCCCATGAGTCACTTGCTTTAGGCTAACTTGTCCATCAGTTTCTAGAAACTCCGATGGGTGCTGCGTAATACACACCTTACTATGTACTGTTGTTTATGTGTAAATTATAATGTTGTTTATTGACGTGCACTCATGCTGTTGTGTATTAGTCTATCGCTATGTACCGTGTGTAACTGTGTACCGTGTATTACTGTTTACCGTGTATTACTGTTTACCGTGTATTACTTTGTACCGTGTATAACTGTGTACCGTGTATTCCTTTGTACTGTGTATTGATGTGTACTGTGTACTCACCTCCCGCTGCAGCCGGCGTCGCTCCTGCTTGAGCTGCTCCTCGTGCTCGTCCTGGTGGTCCTGCCGCGCGCGGAGACGGGCCACCTGCGCCTCTAGCCGTGCCACCGCCGCCGCCTGCAGCGCCGCCTCCGCCTCCGCGCGCGCCGCCCGCCCCTTCGCCTCCGACACCGACTTGCGCAGCGATTCCACTGCAATACACATAGCAAACATACAATACACAGCAATACACTATTTATATACTAGCTTTCGCCCGCGACTCCGTCTACGTGGATTTTTTTTTAAGTAAGTAGCCTATGTGTTCTTCTAGACTATGGTCTAGTTCTATGCCAAATTTCCTCCAGAACCGTTCAGCCGTTTTTTATGTTTGTTAAGCTAGGGCTACAAACTCTAACAAACATCCATCCATCCATTGGATTTTTCGCATTTATAATATTAGTATGATAGATGTAGAAAATGCTCAATTCCAACATGTACAAGAACATTGTATGTGTTCAGTGTGATGTGGTGTGTATGTACTGACGCTCGCTGTCGTGCTCCCTGTCGTGGTGCGCGGCGACGCCGTTCTGCCTGGCGGCGCGCTCCTCGTTGAGGCACAGCTTCAGCTTGCGCACCTCCGACTCCAGCGCCTGCTTAGAGCTCACCAGCCGCTGCAACCGCACGTCTGACAACACACCACAGTCCTCAACTTATTGATTCCGTCCAGAGCGTCGGCGGATCAGAGGTAATCTACCATCCGCCATGTACCAAATTTACCCAAACTTCTTACGGTGAAGGAAAACATGGTGATGCAACCTGCACATTTTAGCGAAGAAATTCAAAGACATGTGTGAAGTCACCCTATAGTGGACCAGCATAGTTGACTAAGGCCTAGTTTCCCCCACATTAGGGTAGGCTCCAAACCCCTCACTGGGGTCGTATAGTGAGCTGGTGATGAAGATATTAATTTACTTCAACTCACCCAGTGTGCCTTCTCCAGCGTCATTGAGCAGCTGTTCCGAGTGATGTGAGACTAGCGCGAGCGGGGGTACGCTGCCGAAGCCCTGCGCCACCAGCTCGGGCTCCGCCCCGTTGACCTCCGTTTGTTCCGCGGTGCCGTTGAGCTCGGCCTCCACGAAGGCGAAGCCCGCGACTGCGGCGGCGGAGTCCCGCGCGCGCACCGCGTCCCGCGCCGCATTCACCTCGCGCTCCAGAGTCGCATGCTCGCGTTTTAGTCTCTCGTGCGCTGAGCATTTTTCTTTATGTTCACGCTACAAATACATATTTTAAATTTTAATCTTGTTAATCTTACTAATAATAAACGCGAAGGTTTAGATAGATGAATGGATGTTTATTGGGAGTTTATAATCTAAACTGCCGAACGAATCTCAATAAAATTTGGCATAGACATAGAGGATAGTCTAGAAGTAAACATAGTATAGATACTTTTACATTTTTTTTTTGTTAAATAAATCAAGTTTTTTCAATAACTTTCTTATGAACATTTATTTGATGAATTGTTGTGTTCCAAGTTTAACACAATTTAGTTTTAGTGCTGACCTGCAGCTGCGCGTGCTCCTCAGTAAGCTCCTCGATGCGGTCCTTAAGCAGTTCGAGCTGGTAGCCGAGCGCCGCCTTGTCATTGTCCAGCTGCGCATTCAGAATCATCGCCTTGCGGAACTTCTCCTCTACCTCCTTTAGCTCGTGCTGAAATATTTATATACAAAATTCAATTACATAAAGCAAATGTAATTAATTTCAAGAAATCAATATTCGATATTGTCTGGTAAAAATGCCTTCGACCCTTAGTATTCTAGAGTAGTAAATATATGTACAAATATCTTGGTTAATAAGAGTTTGTTTTAATGTGTTGTCTACACAGATTGTAAGATTACCCTGAGGTCTTTGATGCTGAAGACGTCGTCCGCGGAATCTTCGGAACTTCGCCGCGGCGAGTGCACGGCGGGGCTGAGCGCCGCAAGCCTTCCACCACGACGCCCAACTGTCTCTGTTACATTAGAACATATTCACCCTTGTTTAAACGTAACATTAGTATCAATTCATCTAATAGTCACTTACCTCGGCCATTAATGTGTATCATTCATATTAAATCTACGCTGATGATTTCCCTAAGCAAGTGATAACTCAAGCAATTAATCAGTACGAAGGAAGTAATCCATTGTCAATAATAATTATTATCACATAAGTGTGTATACCTGAGTACATGTCGAATGCCTTATCGGCATGGTCCTCCTGCTCGCGCTGCTGCCGCTCCAGCTCCCGCATGCGGATTTCACGCGCCTCCGCCCGCGCCGCGCGCCGCGCCGCCAGTCGCTGCTCCGCCTAACACAAACATTACTTTGAATATCATTTAAGTAAATAACTTAAGTAATACTAAGCTTCTATCGGAATCATACCAATAACGTGCCCTTTAAATCTGTAGATTGTTTTTTATAAGTTTGAAATAATAAAATTTTATTTAGTAAAAATTTTTTTAATATATGAATGATTTATTTTGATCAAGTAACTCAAGTACATTTTACTTTCAAATCCCAATGTCACAAGGGAGAGAATTGTGAGTAATTGGTCCATAAGGTCTTGATATAATATCTCCTTTACATTACTGTTTGTCTGCAAAATTATAACCTGCATTGTGACAATGGATTTAATGGTCATTCCGATAGCACTCGATAAGCATACGTTAAATATGTTTTTGTTTTAATGACTCGTCACGCCTTAAAAATGTTATGTTATCTAAACGTCCTATTTAAATATTTGATAAACCAATGATAAAATAAACATATACAAAACTTGATTTCTTTGTCCTTTCCTACCATTGCATTCTTAAATATTCATTGACAAACATTTTCAGACAATATTTTTTAACACGTTCAGCGGCACGGATCCCCCTGCCGAGTTCACACTTATACACAAAAAACGCAGTGGCATAGAACGTGTTAAATTTCACTATTATTTACGATATTGCAGAAGTGAAAGTGGTGTGTTGTAGAACGGCGCCAAATAGACGTCCATAGTGTCTATCTACCCTTCTGGATTAGTAGGTTCAATATGAAAAAATTCCCATTGGACTGATTGCATTCGTAAAACCAACGCGTCATAATACGCGCCTTTTCTCTCTTGTTTAAATTTAGATTGTCTACTTCTCATTTGCCGCCATTTTATTTGTGTGGTGACCACAAAGTACATTTCACTACCACTGGAATATACACGCTTAATGACGCAGCATCAATGACCAATGCTCAAATACCGGGGTTTCCCAGGACAGTATGCGAATGTATTACACACAGGCGGTGCCACCGATGATTACTAAGAGAATAGATTCGAGGGACGACACCAAAACGACGAGAAATAAATATTAATGTTGCAATAGTATCATCTATACTAATATTATAAAGAGAAATGATTTACAGTTTGTAGAAACTACTGGACCAATTACAAAAATTCTTTCACCATTAAAAAGCTATATTATCACTGTGTAATATAGGCTATGATTTTTACTATTTTTTAACTCCACGCTGACGAAATCGCGAGTTTAAGATAATAATGTATTTTATCGAAAAACAAAACAACGGAATCTGACTACGAAGCTGGATAGTTCAAATATACCAAACGCAGATAGAATCAATGACATGAGAATCAGCAATTTAACCTCTGATGGTGGGCGTTTTAAGTCATCGAACATGTAGAGATTTCTCGAAGAATCCGAATAAAGAACTAAATATCACTAGTACCATAGTTGGTACAGAACAGTTATTTAAACCAACAAAAGGACTAGTCACCTTTGCTAAATAGAAGTCATTGCTATAACTGCATTTACGAAGCGATTTGGACTTCAGTTCATTGTACATAGAGGAAGTCACAATAAATTACCGGCATTGGTATGATGCTTACATTATCTGATTATAACATTAAGAGAGGATTGAATACATTGAAGCTTAAGTAGAGCATCCTTTTACTTAGCCACTTAGCTCAAGTCGTATAAATCTAGCTAATATTATAAATGCGAAAGTTTAAATGGATGGATAGATGTTTGTTAGAGTTTGTAGCCGTAGTGTTTTAGAAGATAATTTGGAAGAACACATAGGCTACATACTTTATTTTTTTTTAATTCTGCGTGCACGGAGTCGCGGGCGAAAGCTAGTATATTAAAAAAAATGAAAATAAAAAATTATAACAAGACTTGAAACGTGGGTGGAATTTATATAAACACATGTATTAAATGATATTCGGCTACTAAAATATATAATAAACGAAAATTGGATGATACAAGTTCAAGTATTACCAATTACTATCAAAGAACAATGCTTAAAGCATCGTACACTGGCGTCTATCATAGAAAACAGTCACACAGTTAGTCACTACAGGTGTTGATAAACTAAAATTAAAAACAATCACAGAAACACAGACAGTATTACGCTACACAAAGGAACAATATACACTATCGTAATATGATTCTTATAATATGAAATCAAAATATTGTCTTCTAAACTAAAGAATAGATTACCTATTACTAATAGAAATCGACTCATTGTTATGTGACTTTTAAATCAAATATGCAGTCTATATAAAACAGTTATGGACAAACAGTTTATTTCTGCACTACTAGGAGACAGACGAGCAAGCAATCAAAAGGCATCGTTAACACAGCAAAATAAGGCATTCCCATAGGCATTTGGAACAAGCCGAATGGTATTATGAGTAGATGCGTTGTCTAACTTTAGACAGAAAAAAAGAAGTACCAAGAAGAGACAATTTCCTATTGAATCTTTAAACTTCAGCCTCGCACATCCGAGTTGTGGAATGGTTTGTTCTCGACGGTATTTCCAAACCACTAAAGCTTAGGGTCCTTCAAGAAGCGAAAATATCACCGTCTCAAAGGCAACGCATCTGTAGTTTCTCTGTGTCGGTGTGTTTCGGATGTCCATGGGCGTTGATGACCATCTCGGTGTTCAAGTTGCTCATTTGCCCCTTCTCTTAGAAAAAACCTCTCCCAGTTCACTGCCAATTTCTTGGTAAGACAAAGATAACGGATATCTATCTATAATCTTTCATCTCTGTCGGGATATGTATTAATGGCGTAGAGTTTACAGCTATGTAATAAAACATTCGCCAGAGTGACAACACATTACGCAAGTTGCAGAACAAATGTGCTGAAATGATGTCACACAGATCAAGGTTCGTGTAGGTTTTGGCTCAGTTCGTTGTGACCGATTAGACGCCTACTTGGGAGTTCTAATTTCTTTTAAACAGTTGCACAAGATCTCGTAATTTCATTAATGTTTATTGGGTAATGGTATCTTTTATGCAGCCGTTTCTGAAGGTCACGTTAACGAATGACATGCTTTATTCTGTCCCTCCTTTTAAAAGGTATTTAAGGGGGATAACCTTTTGATATAAAATGGAAACTCTTTTATGACAATATAAAAGCAAAACACATATTGCAGAAATATATTAGTTGATTCAATAGTTACAAAGGCCCAAAGATACGAACACAAGTCGTGCTCAGCGTGTTTGACGATCCAACGCGTGCGAAGAGCGGAAGTGACGATTGCTACTGTCTCGTATAGTTCCGTCAAACATTAATTACATTTTAATTGGCTATCGACAAATATTTAACTGCCTGGACAGTAGTTTTGTATGCGAAATTTTATCACTCAGAACTATTACCTCATGTTTAGAACACGAAATAGCAACACGAGGAGTTGAATAACAAAATAAACAAATTAACTATAATGCTACATTTAAGAGCTGTTCTTATCAATTATTGAAGATAGATTTTAAACATTTAATTACATGGAAGAATACATATCCTTAGAAGCAGTGGTCTCTGTCTGTAAGCTTAATGAAGCACATTTTGTTCTAAACAGTATCTATTAAAAGATGCCATATCTGGAAAAGCCATCAAAACCGATGACATCATTGTCAGATGTTAACACACACACGCACTAAGTGAATACATGTTAAACATTCAATTGTTTATCGATACCAAAGATAAAGATGACTAACTGCAATTTTTTCAACTTTTCGGCCTGACACTTCACTTAAAAACCAACCTTATGAACATATTATAAGTTACTTACGTAGAGGAGCAGACACCTGGCGGCCACATCGAGCAGGCCCGCTAACGTCAACATGACATAGAGGCGAGGTCGCCGTGCACTACATTCGGTACGAGTGCCATCCACCAGCGACGCACGTGCACTGGCCAACACTTGCCGATATTACATTACATAACCACAATAAGTCTAGGCAGAAATTAATACAGATATTCTATTATTAACTAACTTGTGAACTCAAACGACACAGATCATAATTTCACAGCAAGGTCTGTACAAATCAGGCGACGGTTGATCACTCCAGCTGTGCTGTGACTAAAACACTTGTAGCAAAGTAACGGCTGAGCAAACAGAGCGGTCACGAAAAAAAAAGTCGTAAATGAAGCGATACTTATATAAGCTTCTAACGTTACATACCTTAAATCAACAACCTTAGAACTAACGAACAAAGTAAACAATCGCACGAAAAAGAGTATGACACCTTTGTTTTGGTCTCAAAAATATTATGAAGGCTACGAATCTGTGATAAGATCTTGATAAAAATCCTGTAGCAAATCAAAAGCATGAATCGAAATAATGATTTAAAATCTAAAACAATGTGGTACCAGATAAATGTTAGAAACAAAGAAAACTGTCCAAGATTCGATAAGCACATACAATAAAAGAAACATGTATAGATTTTCTAAAAAAAAGTGAACAGATTCAATTAAATTCATCAAAGTAGGAAACAGCAAGCGTCCTCAAAACGTCTCATATTATTATACCCGTATAAAGAAACTTAATCATGTATATGTTCTCGTTACGTACATGGTTGTGCTGGTCTCCGAGAATCCCGACTATCGACGGATTGATTTCGCTCTGAGAATCTTTGCGGGCATCCGTCACGCCTTGCTCCATATAATTGTCTAAGTCGTCTATTGGAGCGCAGTGGCCGTTTTCTAAGTTATCATTTCCATCGATGCTCTCATTACCATTCGTCACAGGTTCTTTCTCATTATTTGGATCATTAACTTCGCCGGTATCTGATTTATCGATGCTGGGATTTACAGTCTCATTAACCGGTAATTGACTAGCTTTGATAACATTAGATCTTTCGATAAAAGATTCTTCTCCAGAATCATCGAAATCGCCGTCAGTGAAGGCCTCACCACTCTCCTCGTCACTATTATCTGATGTTAGTTCGGATTTATGACCCATTGCTAAATTAAATCGTCAGATATTCACTCATATAACTTTTTAAAACACTTGCCTAAAGAATTTATTAATGCAATAGCACTCGAGTAGAAAGGAAGGACGCAATTTTTGCACTGCACTCCGTGTAGTCCGCGATAAAATGCCGCACTCTGTTTATCTTATCGTTAATTTCCACCGTCAGTGTCCACGAGTGGACCGCGCGTACCTCTGAAGGCAATTGACGTTGACAATGGGATAGTATGATCACATCAACATAATGTTTATTTGTAAACACGGTTGGTATGTTTACAATGGGGGATGTTTATCGCGCGTCGTAGCAAACATGTTCGGAGGTTTCCGGCGAGGCGCGGGCGTCGATGGCGCTGTCGCGGACAGACTGTCAGTTCGCACGATCGTCGCTTGCGGCTTGCGCTATCGTTGTCGTAATCGCGCACCACCGTTACGCACGCACTGCGCACTGCGCGCACGCGGAAGCGGATAGTAGTAATCATCTAGAAAAATATGCAATTGCTTGTTAGCTTTTTATATAACACGGGCGATCACTTGCAGATCCACAGGGCGTACAGGGTGTTGTAAATAGTTATTTACTTTGAAACTAGAAATTCATTTGACATACGAATGATTTTCTGGAAATACTACGATATTCATAAATTCAACTAATAAATTACTTGGTCAAAGAGAGTGGGAATGAAAACAACACTCAGGCACATACATGTTAACAGCTTAAGCCTAATGACGATAAGGTTTAGTAAATCACAGCGAGGCGACAAGTCTATGAGCTGTCCGCTTCCGCTCCTGCTCGGAGGTGAATGATTAATCGCTCTTTGTTTTACTGAGAACCGACTAGGCTTACCAGAATGCATTTATTTTTTTACGGACATTAAGATTAAATTTAAAGATAATTTGTAACTTGAAACTTTAACTCTGGAATATATTTATTTCACATAAATGTAAGAATTTCATTCAAGTTTCTATATATCAAAACGTTGAACGGTGTATATCTACACCATACTACGACACTTATGTAAAAATAATAATTTCAATGACATTTTCATATATGTCGCGATATAAATGGTTTTCAAAAAACTTATCACAATAAACTAAGTAACATCAATCACTAATTTTGTAGAGAGGTGTAAAATAGAGTGTATTAATTGAATGAAATCTATTATATACTCATAATGTGGGCAAGAAAATATGTAATATCAAGTTGGTGAGAATCTTGTTTCATGTTATAAAAATTGTCAATGACATAAATTAATAATAGCCATTTGTAATCATTACTTGATTTGTAATTCGATATGCTGTAATCGTATTACGATGCTGTCTTCATTGGCCGAGAATAGCGGACAAGGTTCTGATTCATATTAAATCCAGTTAACTTTTAGATGATAAAAATTGTTATACATTAAATGAGACGTTAACTGTTTTAGATGATTTTAAAAATATTTAACACAAGCTTGAATTCATCTTAATTTATGGATTAACAAAATCTCTATTGCTAAAATTTTTAATTTTATAAAACTTTTTGAGGACTTATGATTGCTACGAATTTTAATAGCTCGGAAGAGAAACTAAAAAAATCTATACATAAAGTTACTGTCCTGAAAAACTATAAAGCTTGGTTACCCTACTCGATCCTTTTGCTTGAAGGAAACGTCCCCCGCGCAGTAGATTTACTGCTCGCGGTATCGATGGTAAGGACGTATGTTTCCGATCGTATATCAGCCGACTGCATATTGTGTTCTAAGATTAACTCGATCGCCTTAAACGATTATTAATGAAGTACTGAACCGATGATTTTATTTGAAAATGCTTTGTAAACAAAAAACTTGAGTTTTACATGAGTGTAACATATCGATTTTTCTTCATAATATATAAATTCTACACTAGCTAAGCACGTTACCCTTGAAAATGTTACAAATCCTTTTGTTAACTTTGCATTTATATTCAAAAACGTTGCTCAAGCTGGCAATATATTGTACAATGTTCCTACAATCCGTAAATAGCCATGAAATTACAATTGCCACATTACGTAAAACCACATCATTGTTTGGTACATGGTAACAAACAGTTCAACAAACTATTCCAAAATTGGAGAGTACATACACAATTATGTTACTTTTAATGAATCGTGTGAAACTAAAGATTTAATTACCAATTGTACTTTTCTAGCTATGATTATTTTTCTCTGATTTAAGATATAGTTTCATTTTAAACCCTAACGTTAATGTAAATTAATTTTGATAGTATATGAATTATTTAAATTCCGCTCTTCGATGCAGTGTATCACCACCAACATGCCTTAGTTACACGGAATGTTAAAACTGCCAATCGAGCGCTGTGTAATGTTTTTATTACAAAATTGTATTAAACGTTTATTAACACTAAATTTAATATAAACAAGTTTTTCGCACGACTTGCACCACTTTCAGATTTCAACATTGGTTTCCATTGTCAGTGATTGCAACTATAAGAATATCAAATAACAAGATGTCTCAGAATAAGGTAATACTAGACGATAGAATCCAGCCAGAAAATTAGCAAAATCCTTCGCAAGTATAGATTGGCCTTTACTATTTATAGCAGAACACAATTTCTACCTTGACCTTTAATTTAAGCGACAAACCTAATTGAGACGAAAGAATTGCATGTCATATTTAAGTGGCGATACCTCCATCTTGGACATCAGGGATTTCTCTCCACACGCCCGACTAAGCACAAGATCAGAGGCTACTAAACAGACAAAACAAATAAATCATAAAAAACAGGACAAAACGATGCGTTAAGAAAAAAAAAGTTGATACATTTTAAAGGGGAAAACCTATGCCTCTCCCACATAGTCAATCCAACGAAATAATTATCAACATGAATTTGAAAGAAACATGATCACAGTTAAAAATATGTTTAATCTACATGTGTGTTTTTATTTCAATGTCAATTTGTTAACCGACTATATCGAGCATATGGCTTCTGCATGGATATGATTAAAATAACATAAATACACTGTACCTAGTGGACTGTTTACTCTAAGCATTGTAACAATAAATTGAATACATTGCTTAATTAAATTTGTTTAATAATTGTTTTATATCGTTATAAAACGAGGTCTGTTTACGTTAAATACAAAACGTTTGACATTGAAGTTATCGCGGGTAAAATAATGAGGTAATGGACCAACGGAACTGATAGCGGAAGGTTTAAATTGGGTGATACAAGTATTAATTTAATTATACTTACGCATGCAATAATTGAAATAAATAATTGACGAAAGACAATATAACAGTTTGCTAAAGATCAAAACTTTTAAAAATATATCAGGATACAAATCGATAGAATGTAAAGGCTGCTAGGGTTTCCGACTACCGTAAAACTAGTAAAAAATTATATTGTCGTCTCTATCGGTCCTTGGAGACATTAAGATTTAGGATAACAATATGTTTCGACAAAGGGAAAATAAGAATAGCTTAATAGAGAAATAGTTCGACCTCATAACCTTTGCTAAAACCATTAGACACCAGATGGGATCCCATTTCGTACATTGACTATAGTGTATTTAGAATTTGGAACATCAGTCACGGCATCTCATCTCCCAGTACTGTATGTCATTGCTCTCGGCAGCGAACACGCATAGGTTTTACACAAAGGTGCAGGACTGTCACGGTCAACGGGACGTGTACAATGCGGGCACCGACATAACTGTCCGTTGGCAGTTTTAAATGCGAAACTACTCTAACATTCAACAACTAGCACACAACGAGTCACTAAAATAGGGTTAATGAAACTTAATTGTTAACGACTGGGCGTTTAATCCAACTGACCATTGTAATAGCTTAACAGTTACGGAGTAAATAAAATAAAAACTAGTTTTTTTTTTAATTCAATAACGCTATTTTCATTTGTGAATCTGACCACTACCACCAGTTCGTTTAATGAATATAATTAAAAAATATGTTTATTCATCGTTTAGTGACCATGGATAATTTTAATGGTGTTACTACACTACCAATAGAACAAAGAATTGTAATAAATCGAAATACATTTCTTAACATTGTAATGCGGTAGCTATTACCATGAAATACAATTAAGTCACTCTTTTAAAATGTTATTATTGAACCAACAGGAGTTTTCAAGCTGCAGTTACCGATGTTTTAGAACCAATACAACGAAAAATATCAAACAAATTAAATATTCCTTCCACCTCTCTCTTTCTCCCTTCGTAAATGTAACATTAATGTGGTCACCTTGCAATATACAATGTTAACCGCTTTAGGGCCTCTGCTTCGTAAACTGTGGAAAGATTGAAGCACACGAAACACGCACCTTAAATCACAACCCAGTCAAATAGGCTCGGGATATAATTATTGATAAACGCGAAAAATTGTGCAGCCGGTAAGTAAAAGCCGATCGCGGACGATTAACTGTTTAACATCGAACGGTACTGAGATGCGCACGCGACTCGTACGTAAATATCGTGACATTTGCGCCGCGACTGCCGCCAGGGGCTCCCGCATGTGCGCTTATGGTGGCCACACAATCCAGACATTGCATATAATAAAAAAGTTTAAACGATTTATTTGTAAAGCTTAAGCTTACTATAAAATTTAATACTACTCGGGTACAATTCGCATCGTTACGTAAAGGTAACATTACAAATGTATTATTAAAAAAAACTCCAATTACAAAATGTTAGTAAATACTTTAGTTATTAATTATTCTGAATGCTGCATTGCACCAAAACCAATTAAAAAGGTTTACGTTTAGGAATGTTCCAGAATGTTAATTAAAAAACTTTTTTAAATGAATCCCATAGAGATGGTAACTCTAATGCGTTGGATATCTCACGCTTTCGTAATTGCAGAGGTGAACGTGCCGCGTATGAACTAGATTCGCTTGGCAGCCGTCATAACACGAGTAACAATTATCTTACATCTAATAATACATAATTCATAACATTAATAAATTCGATTAACAAGCCGTAGACCAACAATCTGAGTAATTAAAAATTGGGACATATTTAACCACATTTTTTTTTATTTTATGTAAGGTAGCATCTACTGAAGCTTACAGCTATCAAAAGCATTGCGGAAAAACTTGTAACTATGCCAGTTGCATCATAATGCATATTATGCGCATCATCAAATTTATTCATTCTTTAGCTATCATTTCTAAAAATCTAGGCATTAAGTGTTAGAAAGAATATATTAGGAATTTTCTGACAACGTATGAATTTATCTTAATTTTCAATTACCTTTACATATTAAAGCACTCAGAAACATTCGCAGTAACAAGCAGTCATTAAGACTATCAGCGTAACTGCCGTGGAGGTGCTTCAACGGGCCCACTCGTGCCAACTGATGAAAATTTAATGCGCCCGCCTGACTCACCTTACTATCGTCGCCAT